ATTCGAGCATGGTGTGAAGATATGAAGATCGAACAACATTTCCCATCGGTCGCTCATCCACAAGCCAATGGACAAGTCGAGATGACCAACAGGATCATACTGAACGGCCTAAAAACCAGACTGGAGAAGGCGTAGGGTGAATGAGTCGACGAGCTCACTTCCGTACTTTGGGCATATCGAACAACGTCCAGGTCGACAATAGGGGAAACACCCATCAGTCTGGTCTACGGCATGGAGGCACTACTTCTGGTGGAGATCAAAGTCCAGTCCCAGAGATCGAACACATATGATCCTAAGCAAAATGAGAACTTGATGATGGCGGCCCTCGACACGATTGAAGAACTTCGAGAACGTGCCTCGATCAGGGTCGAAGCATACAAGCAGAGAACGTGAGCAGATCGAGAGCGCTTTGGTAACCGGCGGGGACCTTAGGCATAGCATCCCAGATGGCCTCCATGTTGAACTCCTCAAAGTCGTCTTCGGCTATCTGGGCCCCCGCCTGCTGCATGATAGCCCTAAAGCAGTTAGTTCCATATTCCTGCACATCCTTCAGATACTGTGGTGACTGCTTGAAGGCAGTCACCACTTGCTCGCGATATCCTTGCAGGAAGTGCTAACCACCGGTGGTATGAAAGACCATCCTCCGCGCCTGAAGAGCAGCCTCATCGATCAGAGGCTTGGCCCTTTGCTCGAAAGCAGCATTCTCATGCGCCCGAGCCGCCTTTTCCTCCTCGAGTGCAGCCTCGAGGGCTTTCTGTTTAATCCCCTCAGCCTCTAGTGCAGCCTTGAGGGCCTCCTTCTCCGCTCGCTCGGCCACGAGTGCCTCCTCGAAAGACTTGACGGCCCCCCTCGAGCGTCTCCTTTTCTGTTTGGAGAACCCTGGCTTTAGCAGCCTCTTCCTTCACTTGTCCCAAAGCTCCTTATTCCAGTGAACAAGCTCGTCTCTCTTGTTCCGGAGAAGGAATGACCCCTTCTTGATCGCAGGGATGGACCGGCTCGAACTCGAGAGAGTTTGCTCAATTAAAGGAGCAAGCTCGACCCAAAAAAAAAAAAAAGTCAACACGAAAACAACGGAGAAAAGAGCGAGAAATAAGGATATAATCATGAAATTATAATAGTTACCTGCGCCAGCCAGCGAGCGATGCGGTCACCTCGGTCGCGAAGGGTGTGACCGTCGTTGGGGCGGTCGGTAGGAAGGTCAACAGGGGGGAGAACTTACCTTAGAAAGCTCGACACCCCCATACCATCAAACTTGGTCAATGAGAGGGTGGAAGGACGAGTGACAACAGCAGTTTCTTCGAGACGGAAGCGCTTGTTCGCCCCCTCAGTCTCCTCAGTCTCCTCGGCTAAGCGGAGCTTTAGCCGGACCTCCTCGGTTAGTTTACCTTCAGGAGAGGCAGGTATGTGGATCAATGGAGCGATCGAGCCGGCGGGAGGAGAAGATGGTCGAGGAGAGGCAGGTCGCTCGGGCTGCTCGGGTTGCTCGAGCTCCGTGGGTTGCCCGTCGACATGAATGTTTCCTCGATGACCGGCTCGTGAACGGGTGGAGGACGAGGATCGACCTCCATGGAGAAAGTCGTCTGCTCGGGTGGGGGCGAAGCAGAGTGAGTAGATTGAGAGGTGGTCGAGTCGGCAGGTTTTGAGCTCGACCCCCCAACGGCCTTTTTCTTCAGAGGCACTTTCCTCTTAGGAGAAGGGATAGCAGGCATCTCTACAAGAAATGGCGAGCAAGTTAACATCAAAATAAATAAATCACATGTAGAACTTACATAATAATGCTCGAAACGCTTAACAATAAATACCTGGGTCGCCCTTGATCCGGATAAGATCGAAAGTTTTCTGACTAGGGAGAAAACAAGGTTTGTGGGCTGAGAAGACCACAAAAGTGTAAGAGGTCCTCATCCTCGAGCAGGGTCTTTGACGCAACGGGATTGCGGTTCCACACAGCAATCCGTTGGTCGAAGAGGGCGTTTGGAGAGGGTGTCGCATACTCGCGCTTGAGCTCCCTAAGCCACGGAGTTGGCGCCCAAGGGAAAGCGGGGTTAGGCTCGACAAAAGCGAATTTATCTTTCCACTTGGGAACGTTTGAAGGGGTGTCCGAAATAAAGTGGACATCATTGCGGCTCTTGAGGTAGAGCCCTTGAGAATGTTTCGAGGGTGTGTAACAGTAATGGAAAAAGTCCAGGTCGAGTCGACCTAGATAGAGATGGCAGAGGATGATGAAGACAGTTATAAAGCGGATAGCATTAGGAGGGAGCTGGTTCAAGGGAAGGTCAAACCATTGCAAATATCAAGCAAGTCTGGGCATAAGGGAAAACGGACACCAAGTTTGAATTGAATTTCGAAAAAAGTATAGCAATTCTTTGGAGGGTTATCATAAGTGTCCTGAGGACCAGGAGATACGAAAGCCCAGCTAGCAGGATGGCCGACCTCATCGGCATTCAGCCAACCGGCTATAAGAGCGCGCGAAGAAGTCTGCTTAGAAGAGGAGGTTTTGGTCAATTTGTTCTTCTTTTGAGTAGGCTTAGAGAAGTAACGAGGGGAGCAGATTTGTCTTGGGATGAAGAAGGAGTAGCGGTAGACGAGCGTTTGGACTTAGAAGCAGAAGGTACCTTAGACCTGCTCGAAGAAGGTTTGGAAGGAGCGGTGCGTTGGGACAGAGGAATGTGATCCTCGTCTTTCTCGAGGGCAGCCTCAGCAGCATCGAGAGCTGCTTCGGCAATGTCAGAAGCCCCAAACGCCGGTCGACGGTGACGAGTAAGAGGAATGTGGTCAACAGTATCATCGTCTGATTCGTTAATCAGAAGATGAGGTTGTGGTGGAATAGAAGGTGTCGAGTAATCAGAAGGGCGAAGAAACTTGAGAGGAACGGGATTATAGATTTCTTCAACAGAGTTGGATGGAGAATGGGGAATAGATTGGCGAATCGGAGAAGACGACAGATTGGTTATGTCTTCGCCGGAACGGTGAGTATTCTCAGAAGAAGCAGCGGAATCTGAAAAATAAAGGAAAAAATTGTTAAAGGGAAAACCTTTAGGGAAGAGCAGAGAGGGAAAGAGGAGAGGAACTCCGCGACTAGGGTACTGACAGAACTTCAGAAGAAAAGCGACAAATCGCAACAACAAAAAACATACAAACATAAAATTAGAAGTACAGAGAACTTACTCATGTTTGCAGTGGAAAGAATTGCCAGAAACCTTGTACCTGATGGAACAGAAATGCCGAGAACAGGAAAACTCGATTTGCAGAGGAGAAAATTAGGGCGCAGAAGAGATTAAAAGTTGCAGGAGTGAGAAAAAGGCCTATAAATGGCTAAGTATTGTATTTATACGGATACAGATGAAGATAAGTTGAAGAGTTGGGAGAGAGAGCCGTTGGATTAAAGCAAGATCTAACGTCTGGGAGAATTAAAGGGGCGCGGATAGCGAAGCGGTGCAGATCACGAGGAGACACGATGATTAGAATTACTGGACAGATAAGACACGTGGCAGAAGAAAACAATATCAGTAATAAAGGAAGATGAAGGATGGCTGGAAATTTACAATGGAACCAGCCAAGTGGTCGAAAAAGGGGGATACAGTTCAACAAATGGTCGACGAATAGAGACAACACCGGTCAAGAGGTCGAAATGACGGTAAACCCAAGAGACAAACACAAACTCACTTTTAGATCGAGTCATTCAGACTCGACCAGAGTAGGGGGGACTAGATGATATGGGATATTATATACTTAAGGAATATTCCGGTTCACCCGGCCGGTCGTACAAGCCCAATATTAGAAATGCTATATCTGTCGAGCAATAGCAGACTAAAAGGAAGTGGTCGAGCATAGAAGAGGACCTGGTCGAAGATTGACCTGCCAGAGGAGAACTCATTTAATCGACCACTCGACGAGTGGAGAGCAATCGGGGTCATGGTTTAAACGCGAGAAAACGCGTGTACTTCGTCAGAAGATTTCAAAGGAATATTCAGGGGAATAATTACCCTCTGCTCAGAGGGGCACGTGGCAAGAGTACATTGGTGCAGAGCGATAGTGGCGATAACCACCTCTGACACACACACACACTGTGTGTGTACGGACAGGCAGGTACGTGCAGCGGTGGGAGGACAGCTCATCAGATCCGGGCAGCTCTTAGGGCATGTATCTCACTCCTATATATATAGCAGTGAGCCTTTCTTGTTACTTACGATTTATCCATTCTATACTTTGGAGAATTGAGTGAGATATATACTGACTTAAGCATCGGAGGCTCTTCACCGGAAAACCCCCCGGTGTGAGAGTTTTTTGCAGGAACGCGGCGTTCTACCGGCGAGGAGGAGGAAGACGAGCCGATTCAAGCCGGTCGGAGTGTTTTGAGTTACCAAATATAATAAAAACAAAAATATGAATTTAAAGTTTAAAAAAAAAAAATTGATATGAATAATTGAACATAAAACACTTACATTGGAAAGAAATGGGAGAAATCTCGATCAACCGTCCTGGACTCCTTGAGAATTGAGAAGAAATTTTCTTTTTAATTCTAATTATGCCTAATTCAATATGAGCAGAGGATATTTAAAATGGAAGATGATTATATGAGATTTGGGTGGAGTTCGGGAGACCAGAAATTAGGGGAATTTTTTGTTCTCAAAGAAATTTGGGGATCTAATCTTCACAAGGCTTGTGAGTTGTGAAGGTAATGTTTTTTCTTTGTCTATGTACCTCATGCGTGTGTGTAGGGGCAGACAAACAAGTAATTTATTTATAAAATATTTATTTTTACCTTTTTAGTTAAACGATGTCTTCTGACTTTAAAAATTGCAATAACCTACCTTTAGCGGTAAAAATTCAGCCTGGACAATTGCCGAGGCTCGCCTATGCTTCGGTCCGCCCCTGTTGAAACTTAACAAAAACTTATTGATATGGTATTACAATTAGATATGAATTGGAAAAAGAAATCAAAAGTAATAATTTTATTTTCTTATTCTAACTCAATAACAAAATATTTTGTATTATATTAGGAACCTCCATATTTAAACCATCCTAATAATTCAGATTTCTCGGTCGGAATTTAAAAATTTCCAATCACACTGATTCCTACTCACCCCTATTAACAATTCTCTACTTTGAGCCTAAGTGAAAAATTCACACGGTTCAGAATTCAATGTGACAATTATGCTTCAAAGTCAAGCTTAGATAAAAATTAATATTTATTTTACAAAAATAATTAAGCTTGGATTACATTAAATGTATATGTTTCACGTTAATTCGTGATTGATGTCTTTATTCCTTTATTCCACATCCAGTTACCATAAATTATTTTGTATTTTCGTTTCTTTAAATACGACATATTATATTTCATTTTCCAATTTAATTCATACTTCTCTTAATATGAATGTGTCTTAGAAAAAAGAAAGAAAAAAAAACTTTATATTTTTTTTGTTTGTATTTTCTTTTTCATACGTGATATACCAAATGGGTTATCTTTTATTGCGTCATCCATATTACATGGAAAAATATGTTTTTTGGTCCCCTAACATTAGGGGCGGATCTAAATGAGTGGAGACCAACTTGTTTTTAGAAAACAAATATAGTACATCCTAACAAAGTATAAAAACAAAAATACTCATTCATAGAAATTCTTATGAGTTTTCATAGCTTGGTATGAACAATAATGTCTATACATTTTATTTCGGCGGTCTAATAATATTATAATTTAAGTCGAGTATATTTGGAATAAAAGTAGCTAATTTTGAAATATTTTTACATGCACTTTTTTGTCGAGACTACTGATAAAAATATTTCTCCATATTTGATATAAAAAAATTATAATTTACAAAATGATTTATTTAATATATCAAAATTTTAAGAGCCCTATAAGTTATCAGTCACACCCAATTTCCAAAAAAAATCCCAATCGTGTTTTTCATTTTTGGAATGGAATTAAAAATGTTAATAGTCTTTCAAGAAACAACATTCAATTAACTACAAACTACAAATTTAAAATTTTAATTTTTATTTCAAATCTTTGAAAATAAGGACTATATTTACTTTCACCAAAATCAACAAGTGATTTCTTTTTTCCCATTATCTATTTTTCTCCCTTCTTTGTGTTTGCATTGTTTTTGTTTTTGTTTTTTTATTAGTTAGTGGTGTATTAAACTATTTTTTGAGTAGGGTATATAAGATAGTATTTTTTTCCAGTGTGGGCCCTATAAGGCTACGCCCCTGCCTAACATGCCGTGTTTGTGCTTTCAGTCTTGGTAAATGTCTACTTTTGGAAATGGTCCTTTAGGTGAAAAAAATTAATTATTTGTCCTATGACCGCCTGTAGAAGATCACACTGACCGACTAGCCTATGTGAAAATTTATTTAAAATATTATATATTTAGTTAATATGAGCATCCTTTATACTTTTAATTAATATCTATTTATTAAATATGTATTAAATATATTATTTAATATGTATATTTAAGTATGCTAAAAAAATTATATTATTTAATATATATATTTATTTATTAAATATCTAATTAATATAAAAAAACTAATTAAAATTTAATTAGGTAAATTAGTAGAAAAATAACATTAATGATAATAAAAGTTAATTAAACAAGGTAATTAAATAATATAATATTATTTATTTATTTATTTAGTTTACTGATTTTTATTTCGTAATTTATACATATTTAGTAAATAAATTATGTATAAGTTTTCGTCACACGTTCTCCAGGTCCGAAGGGATCCAATGCCCAACTATCGACTCCTCACGAAATTATAATTAAAAATAGTATAAATTGAATAGTATACATATGTATATAGAATATGTATATATATATATATATATATATATATATATATATTA